AAATTTATAAATTTATTAGTCTCTAAGGTGCCACAAGTCCTCCTGTTCTTCTTCAAGACAGAGGAGGAACTTTGTCACAATAGAGATGGGGAAAAGGGTCTGAGAACATGAATGACTCAATTTGCCTCCCTGCTCCCCAATGGTATCTAACCCAGGAAGGGTGTTCTGGCTTCCCTGTGGCTTCCCTGAGCACTGCAGCTGGCACCGACACACAAGCAAGACAGAACTTTGAACCTTTTATTACAAAAATATCCTGCAAGCAAAACAAACCAAAAAAAAATATGTTGCAATCTGTACAAGTGGTCACCTTGTTGGTTTTGAAACATCCTGTCTAGATCTCCTGGCTTTCCCCTCCTCCTCCCCTGCTCCCTGCAGGATCAAGCAGCTAGGATACAATCTGGTTTCCAACACGTTTTAGTGCTAGATTATTTCTCCCTCGTCCACCCTCCTTCCAAGGAATGGTACCACAAGTCCCCTGTGTTCCCTTTAATAGTGCTGAGGAAAGGAGGGCAGTGAAAGGGCATTCGGCCATCACAAGAACTGGGCAAGGGGGCCACATTCAGGCCTGACGTAAACAGGTATAATCCACTGTCTGGAGTGCCAGCTGCCTAGCCCAGCTCTTCTTGGCCCTGGGAATCTTGAAACCTGACTCCTAGGGATAAGGTGAAAATTGAAACTCTGCATTATCTGCAACCTCCCATGTAGAAAATCAGGAAGACGGCTGCTTCTGAAATGCCACTTGTGGCTGCATTTCAGCTTCGTTTGCCACTTTTCTTCGCTAGGCTGGTAAGTCTACCCGGCAGTGGGGAAGGCTGAGAAGTCGGAAATCCGCACCCCTCCCCGCAGCGCTGATGGAGGGTTACTTGCTTACCAGGACTTCACTTGACAGGGTTGGGGATTATCACGCTGACTCTGACACTTAGTTTTGCACGTCTCATCCTAGTGATGAACACACAGCACTCCACCCATGGACGACACACAAGCATTGGCTTTTAGCTCTAAAGATTAACAGTTACATGTCAAACAGTCAAAACATGGTGACGTTGTTCTCCGGGGGATGCCCTCCCCTGTGCATCAAGGCTTTCTTCTTCCTTCCAGGCACTGGGGCCGGGAGTGCTGGCTGACCTGGCCCGCAGGAAGTGCTGAAAGGCAGCATAGCCCTGGGAGTAGCCTGTGCTCTGCCAGTAGACGTTGGCTAGCCTCTTCCCCCACCCCGGCTAGCACAAGCTTCTGTAGGAAGCCCGTTAGTCCCAGTCTCATGGGGATAAGCTCTGTGGCTGGCAATGGGGATGCTCTGTACCAGGGGAACACAGGCCTGGGAGCGGCGGTGTCTCGTAGCTCACGACTAGTGTAGCTTGTGACTGGCTCCAGGGTCGGATCAAGAATCTCCGCTCTGCCCAGGGAGCTCCGCAGGCTGCGTTCCCCAGCCCAAGGTGCTCCGGTGCTGAGAAACGTCCTCACTTTGTGATCTGATTGCAGAGAGTGAGACACACAGCCTGGTGCTCAACCCTCAAGGGCACGAGGGAGTCACTGGTCTTAACATACTGCCTCAAGGATGGGATGATGGGGGAGGGGGAACCTCAGGTGGAAACTTAAGGAATTACTTACGACACACTTAGTTTGGAGGAAAAGCTGTGCCTAAAATGAGCAGTCTCGTTCAGACGCGGGTTCTGGAGCAGGAGGAGGGAGGAAGTCTGAGAGGAAGAGGGAGTAGTCACTCCAGATCAAACAGTGTCTGCTCTTCACAGAGGGACTCCATCAGGCAAGCTAGTTGGCCTATGTTGCCTTGCGAACAGCAGTCCAGAGCCTGCTGCCAGACAGCTCTTTGCCACTAAGTTATCTCCCAAATCGGCCTCCTCTCCTTTAGGTGGTTGATCTGAGGCAGCCTGGCTGGTTCTTCAATGCACACAACATCCTAAATGGGCTGCAGAGAAACTCAAGTGTTCACTAGACTGACACAGCCCTTGTCTGGAGAGGTTACGAGGTGGACTAGGCCACTGCACCAGCGAAGCACTGAAAACGGTCTGTCTGCTTAACACGTGTGAAAGCAAACTCGATGCACCGAGCGAAGGACCTCTCCAGTCTGGTGACAAATCACCAGGGGAGTGGGGAGGAGGGGGGGAATAGCAGAGATACTGGTCCAGAAATAAAGCTGCACTGTGTGAGGGTCTGAGTTCAGTCTGGGTCTCTCCGGGCCGGGTGTGGAAGTTGGTATTCACTCAAGTGAGGACACAGTGGCATGGGGAGGTGGCCGCACGCAGTGTGAAGCATTCCAGCCCCAGGAATGCAGCGACCATAGCTTGGCGCACACTTCCACTGTGCCCCTGGTGCCTCCATTGAGAGCCAGCGCTGGAGGACCAAGGCTCCATGTCCAGCTAGGGGCCTGCCAGACTTCACCGAAAACCCAGTGAGCCCCGGCCTGCTTTTAGCCCTGATCATTGCCTTTGGATTTGGACGCTGGCGTACTCCGAGATGGCTTCCTCGGGCCGGGGGGCAGGTCTCTTGGGTGCCTTGCTGAGGTGGACCATGTCCAGGTCAGCGTAGGTGAGATTGTCTTCAGTGGCTGCCGGCTGGCCGGTCTGGATGCAGGCGTACTCCGACTGCGGGCTCATCTCCACGAAGCGGTGCTTGCTCTTCTTCTTCTGCTTGTCGAAGTTCAGGTCTGCGTAGGTCAGGTTGTTGGCATCAGAATCCTGAGTTGGGGGAGGGAGAAAACATGGCGTCAG